TTTTCCCCCCTCCATGCTTGAATAATTTTACATTTTATGCAGTACTTTTCTCTTCGCATTGAACCTCCAATAACTTCACCTACTTTTGTATAGTTAAAGTCATCGAGACGACTAGTAGGAATATTCGAAATATTAAACAATTGTTCATCTAATAGTTAGTACAACCTTGCACATTAACAATGGTACACACAGTTCTTGACGGTCCAGTTAACGACGAAAAAGAGCTGAAAAGAATTGTTTCGTTAGAATATCGCGTCAATGAACTGGAAAACAGGCTATTAAAGGAGGCGACGGCAGCATTGGAGAAACGTGTGGAAGAGCTAGAAGCCTCGCTAAAAGAGTCTAACGAAGAAGAACATATAAGTACTACCCCACCGCCGCCACCTTACACCGTGGTTGACCAGTATAATGGTGCAAATAACGTTGTGAGTATTTTTTAGATGACTATATTATAATGTCTTGCGCTATTTCGAATGCCTGTCATTTGTACTAAATTTCGTATGGCCTCATACATTGGTCTCTGTTGCCGAATTCTAGCAATATCATACACAGAATCCATACCCTGCTACCGTGATAACATCGGACGTTGACTATCGCCTAGCACAGAAACTTCAAGACGAGGAGTATGCATTATGGGTTGATCAGAATCAACATGACTATCGTACTCGACCCGGAGAGCCGTCAACAGCAGGAACTGCGGCGGCAGCAGGAACAGTAATACCTCACCATTGTAGACCACCGATGCCTCCAATACCCGAACATTCTCCATATAACCATCACCATCATCCTTGTCAAGGAGGCAATCCCCAATATCCGGTTGTATACGCATCACCTATTCAACCCCCATTACCATATAGTCAGACTATGCCATATGCTTCCAATAATGACATTTGTGGTGAGGGACAACCATATTACGGAAGTATGAATCAAAGTAAGAACAGCCAATGATTACTGTTTTTGTTAAGCTCGTGTTGAATAAATATTATTATTATTTTATGTTTTGCAGTGTATTAATATTCATTTGTAACGTGCATATACTAATCGCGCGCGCTTGTTTTAGGCTATTATCCAGCGACGAGATCTTGTCCGGTTTG